TAGTGCCTGACACAGGTTTGATATAAATGCTCCTTTGAATGAACTACCAAGCTGACACATTGGGAAATGGGGCGGGAGAAATCGTAGAAGAAACAGATGGAGCTTGAATGTGGATGTGAAAGGCCTCATGAAGCAAGCAAGAATTGGCTCCGAAAGGTGACCGGAAGCTATTGGAGGTTGTTACCCAGGGGAGATGGGTGTTCAGATCTGTCCCATTTAATAATGCATAGGTATTTAAGCCCATGGTTTTTCCTCTAAGGAGAAGAAACTGACTGCTTTTAAACACACAAAGTGGCAAAATCTTCAGTTTCATTCATCATTAAGCAGAAAGGAAGTTAAACTACAGGGAGATACTTTCCACTATCAGATTGGCAGGGATCAAAAGCTTATAATATACTATAGTTTGAGAAGCAATTACCCTGGTACCTTGTGTGGTGCAGAATAAACTGATGGTACCCATTGGATTGAGCGACAGTTTAAATTTTAAATGCATACACCCTTCGATCCAGCAGGTCCACATCTAGAAAGTTATCTTACAAATATGCTTGCTTTGTGTGAAATGAGGCACTTTCTAGATTTATTCACTGCTTCATTGTAAGAGCAGCCCAGTGCCCCATTAGCTGATTATATAAGGTCAAGCCCATCCATACGATGAAAGACAAACAGCTGGAGCAAAGGATGAGGAAGTGTGCAAAGTAGAATAATCTCTCAAATCTGTTATGAAGAGATGAAAGGAAGGTACAGCACAGGGTATGGAGTATGTTTCTCTCCATTTGATTATAGAAGATGCATATTTATTTTTGTTATGGATGCATAAAATGTTTCGTGGAAGGATGCACAAGAAATGGATGGTGTCGCCTCTAGAGAGAGGGACCAGTTTGCCAGTTTGGGATGAGGAGGGGAAGTTGGCTTGTCACTTCTACCCTTTGTTCAAATGAAATGAAGTTGAACTAGCAAGAATAAAGCAGATCTCTGGCACTGACAGAGATCCGTTTCTAATATTAAGGGGAAAAAAGTAAGGTGCCAAATAGGTATGTATTATGGCACCTTCGGGGGAAACAAAGTAGATAAACTATATTTAGAAGACTAACAATATATTGTTAGCAATATAGTAGTTTTGCCTGTGGGGTAGGAGGGGAGAGCTTGGAGTTCAGGGAGCAAGACTTATTTTTCACAGTGTACCATTTTGGGTAGTTGGGGAAAGTTTAGCAAATAAATGTGTTACCTATTAAAAGTAAATTAATACGAAGAGAGGCCAAGTGGACACATAGGGAAATGGAGCAGGAGAAATTGTAGAAGAAACAGATGGATGAATGCCTGGGTGGACAGGTGGGTGGATGGATGCATGAATCAGTGGGTGGGTAGGTGGGTGGGTGGGTCATTGGATGGGTGGGTCATTGGATGGGTACATGGGTAGAGGAGGTGGGTGGATGGATAGACAGGTAGATGGATGGATGACTTGGTGCCTGGATGGGTGGGTGGGTGGATGGAAGGGTTCAAAGATGAGTGGATAATTATATCTGTGGATGCATGTATAGATGTATAAGATAGAAAATTTATTTGGCTGTGGTGGGGAGGACTAGGTGAGGCCCAGAGGGTGTGGAGGCAGGGTGTGGCTAGCAAGCTACTGCAGCAGTGCAGTCAAGGAATAATCAGGGCAAGGATCAGGTGATTTGAAATGTCTCATATACGAGCCAAGCTTCTTATATACATAGAGAGGTGAAGTGAAAGTCGCTCAGTTGTGTCCAACTCTTTGTGATGCCATGGACTTAGTCCATGGAATTCTCCAGGCCAGAATACTGGAGTGGGTAGCCTTTCCCTTCTCCAGGGGATCTTCCCAACCCAGGGATTGAACCCAGGTCTTCCACATTGCAGGCGGATTCTTTACCAGCTGAGCCACAAGGGAAGCCCTTCCCACAAGGGAAGTTATGTACATAACTCTATATTAAGTTTCGGTATTGTTTTCTTAGTACAAAGGCAAATTCCTTTGGAATGAGTTTTTTCCGGCCAGAATCTGCTTTGTATATGATAACTACCAACAGTTAAATCCCCTTTTTCACCATCATCTTAAGAATTTTAGGTGTGAAATCAATTAAAATAATTAGTCTTTGATATAAACTACTCCTCTCCATGATCAGATAAATAATTTCCAAGGCTGTCTTCCAAGTGGCCAAGTCTACAGAGTCATGAACTTTGTCCTTTTTAGGGTTTCTTTGTGTCTAGAAGTTTCCTAGCTAAATTCCTTTGTGTTGACCTTTTAAAGTTTATTTTTCAATAATTCCTTGTTCTTGCTTCTGGAAAAATAACCATTTATATCATAGAATAATTATACCTCTGAAGAACCAGTTTGGGTACTTACTTAATACTAGATCTTTCTCTCTCTGTTTTTAAAGTCAAATCTTTTCTTCTTCTTCCTTTTTTTCCTCTTTAATCATCTTAACCATTTTTAAACCTAGATAGTGTATTAAAAAGGAGAGACATCACTTTTCTGACAAAGGTCTGTATAGTCAAAGCTGTGGTTTTTCCAGTTGTCATGTATGGGTGTGAGAGTTGGACCATCAAGAAGGCTGAGTGCTGAAGAATTGATGCTTTTGAACTGTGATGCTGGAGAAGACGCTTGAGAGTCCCTTGGACAGCAGGGAGATCAAACCAATCAATCTCAAAGGAAATCAACCCTGAATATTCATTGGCAGGACTGATGCTAAAGCTGAAGCTCCAATATTTTGACCCACTGATGGGAAAAGCCTACTCATTGGAAAAGACCCTGATGCTGGGAAAGATGGAGGACAGGAAGAGAAGGGTGTGGCAGAGGATGAGATGGTTGAATGGCATCATTGACTCAGTGGACATGAGTTTGAGCAAACTCCGGGAGATAGTGAAGGACAGGGAAGCCTGGCATGCTGCAGTCCATGGGGTTGCAAAGAGTCGGACACGACTGAGCGACTGAACAGCAGCAACCATTTTTAAGTGTACATCTCAGTAGTGTTAAGTATGCTTGGCTGGTACACATCTAGGTCTCTTTTATAAAGCTCAGAATATATATTTTGATTGATCATCACATGTAAAATGGTCTACTTGTTCCTGTTACTTTTTATTCTATAACATTCTTTGATGTGGCTTTAAAGCTTGCGTGGAGTTTTAAGAATCCAGGTTCCTTGGAGATCCTTGGTGGTCTCTCTTAATCTGATTCTGGGAAGGCTGTTGGAATCAGAGGTGTCTGGAGAGCACCCATCCAGCAGTGGGGAGACAGTGCTGTGGGGAGGGGGCTGCATGGGGACTGGCCGGCTGGACCGTATGAACCTTACCCAAAGACTGGCTCCTCCCTGCTGCTGCTGCTGCTGCTGCTAAGTCACTTCAGTCGTGTCTGACTCTGTGCGACCCCATAGACGGCAGCCCACCAGGCTCCCCTGTCCCTGGGATTCTCCAGGCAAGAACACTGGAGTGGGTTGCCATTTCCTTCTCCAGTGCATGAAAGTGAAAAGTGAAAGTGAAGTTGCTCAGTCATGTCCGACTCTTGGAGACCCCAGGGACTGACTGCAGCCTACCAGGCTCCTCGGTCCATGGGGTTTTCCAGGCAAGAGTACTGGAGTGGGGTGCCATTGCCTTCTCCTGGCTTCTCCCTAGTTCCTCCTAATGGTTGTGAAGCAGGAATCTGGGCCCAGGGCTGCCAGACTTTCTGGTTTTTTATTTTTTAAAGAGACACTGGAAATCCAATTTTTATATGAAATGTCCTCATTTTTAAGTGTTGGCAGCTAAACTAAGATTTTTTTTTTTTTTAAGGCATGTTTAAAATACCAGTGATAACAGGAGATCATCTCTGTGGGCCTTATCAGCCTGGGAGCCACCTGTTTCAGATCTCTAATTTTATCCTGCCTAATTATGGTAGAGATAGGAAATTGAAACCCCTGGACAGGGTAATACCTTTCCCCAAAGTCATATAACAGTTCAGTGGTCAGATCAGGGCTTGAATTAAAATTTCCATTACAGAAGTCTGAAAGCTGGTTGAAGTTTTTTTCTTGGGCAGATATACCTGCTCTATTTATGTATGTGTTTATCTTTTCACCTATTTGGCGTTGTCTCTTATGAAATACAGGTGGCTTCTTAAAAAGATAAAAGTAAAATAGATTTGTTGAGCCTGGATAGCTTTGTGGTTAAATGCAGGAACTCCAGAATTGAATTGCCTGGGTCTGAGTCAGGATCCAGGTCTTACCAAATAATGGGGTAGGTACTGTGAGATACTGGGCGAATCACTGAACTGCTCTGTGCTGTAGTTTTCCCTTCTAAGAAAGAAATGATGAAGTGATTATAGAATTAAAGGACATAGTACATACAAAGAACTTAGAATAGGGCCTCGAACTCAGAACTGCAGTTTGGATATTATCTATAGTGGTGGTGCTGTTGGTGGTCATGCTGCTGATGGTGGTGCTGATGCTAGTAACAAAGATGGTGGTGCTGATGATGGTGGATGATGGCGATGCTGATGCCAGTGACAAAGATGGTGGTGCTGATGATGACTGCTATAGTGATGCTGATGGTGCTGATGAAAGTGATCATGATGTGATCACTATCATGTGATCACTGATGCATTGGTACAGTGATATGGGGATCATAGGGATGATAAAGAAGAATATTAGAAAGCTCTTAATTCACAGGATTGTGAAGTAGGCATGATTTATGATTGTGATTAAAGGATGAGTCGATTTATAGGAGAATACCCTTTAGGATTCCTTTAAGTGGTGGTCTCCATCTTTTGTACGATAATGAAACCTGTGCATTATTGTCTCAGGAACTTATCTGTGAGGTAAGGTGAGACATAACCTTCATTTGTCATTCTTTGTTTGAAGTCTTTCTGGCTACTGATCTTTCCAGTTTGCCCGTTCTGCCTGGGAGGGCATCATAGTTCTTAAACCCCACCGCAGGTAGTTTTGAGCTCTCCGCAGGCCCCTGGCCCACTCTCTTGGGGGCGTCCTGCTTACCTGCGCCTGTGTTTGTGTCTGCAGGGGTGGAATGTCACGTGGAACACCAGCAGCCCCGACTTCACCAAGTGCTTTCAGAACACCGTCCTTGTGTGGGTGCCTTGCTCTTACCTCTGGGTCTGCTTCCCCTTCTACTTCCTCTATCTCTCCCACCATGACCGGGGCTATATTCAGATGACACATCTCAACAAAGCCAAGACTGTAAGTCTCGTGGGGTTTTATCGTGATGTGCGTATTGGGGGGTGGGGTGTGTGCTGGGCGGGGAGGACTGGGTGTGAAAACGGACATGTTGCTTCTGCTTAACTGACCCTGAGCTGCCTTTTACTAAGGCACAGAATAATAATGTGGTGAATAAAGCCTGGGGCTCTGAATTCAGACCTGGGTTCAGAGGTTGGCACTGCCACTTATTAGCTGTATGAGCTTGAGCAAATTTCTTTCTCCCTTCCAGTTTTATTGAGATATAATTGACAGACAGCACTGTATTAAGTTTAAGTGTACAGCACAGTGATTTGACTTACATAGGTCATGAAATGATTATCTCAGTAAATTTCATGAACATCCACCATCTCATATAGATACAAAATTAAAGAAATGAGAAGACTTTTTTTCTAAAAATTTTTTTTCCTTGAGCAAATTTCTTAACCTCCCCAAGCTTCAGTTTCCCCATGATTACAGTGGGGGTGATAGAATCTATCTCATGAGATTATATGGAGGTCTTCCTCCCTGACCAGGGATGTCTTTTTAATTAAAAAAAAATTTTTTTTTATCTTGAAATAGTTTCAAACTGCAGAAAAGTTGCAAGGATCATATTAAGTACTCTCTCAGCCCTGAATACCCATTATTTATAGTCACCGATTTTTAACATTCTGCCACATTTAACATTTTAACATCCTCTTACTCTCTTTTGCTCTCTCCATATACACATAGTATTTTTTTTTCTGAATTATTTGAGAAAAACTAGCATCCATCATGCCTCTTTGCCCCTTCTTCACTGTATCTTTTCTCAAAACAAGGATAGTCTGTTATGTAACAACAGACTACAATTAAATGTAGGAAATTTAACATGGACACAATACTTAAAAAAAAAAAAAAACTACTATGTATATTCCACTTTTGTCACTTGTCCCAATACTGTCCTTTCTAGCATCCCCTCCTCCTTCCCCCAACTCTGGGTCATGCATTGCACTTAGTCAGACTGTTTCTTTATTTTTCTGTTATTTTGGAAGAACTTTTCACCATTTTTTGTTTGTTTATGACGCTGGCATATTTGGAGAACATGGGCCAGTTAATTTAGAGTCAGTTCCTCAACTTGGGCTCTTGGGACCGTGTTTTCTCACGGTTTGATTCAGTAATGCCTGTCTGGCTGGAGAACTACAAAAGGGCCATGAGGTCCCTCTCTGGGTTACATCTAAGGCCACATGGTGTCCATCTGCCCCTCATTGATGGGCTTAATTTTGGTCATCCGGTCAGCAAGTCTGTTTCTCCACTATACAGGTGCTGGTATGCCCCTTGTAAGAATGAGCTTTCTGGGGGAGATACATGAAGGACATGTATATATCCTGTATATGTGTGTGTGTATACGTGTGTATGTGTGTGTGTGTGTGCATTCCACTTTCTCCTCTTAGCGTGTGTCTCGGTCCTTTATTAAAGCCCCATTTCCTGAGATTTATTTCCATAAGCCCTTGGCACACAGGTAAGCGTGAATGAGTTTACCGAAGCTGTCCCCTTGCCTGTGATACCATTGCTCAGACCACATTCCAAGCGCATCTCCCCATGCTGTCTGCTCCCCTGTCTTCACCTGGATCTGGTGTCTTCCTCGTAGACCTCTGGCAGCCGTGTGTACTTTTCATGGAGAGCAGCATCTCCCTCTAACGTGTAAACCAGAGGACTTCCCTGGTGGTCCAGTGGCTAAGACTCCACGCTTCCAGGGCAGGGGGCCCTGAGCTCAATCCCTTTGGGGAACTAGATCCCCCATGCCACAACTAAGACCAGGCACAGCCAAAGAAATAAACATATTTTTTAAAAAACTGTAAGATTTTGCCTGTGCCTTGCTGAAAAACACTCTAGTAACTTCTCATCGTAGGGAGTAAAACCTGGATGTCCTCTCAGTGGCCCAGCTTGATCTGGCTCCAGGCTCCTCTTAAGCCACCTCCTGTCACCTCCTGTCATGCCACAGTAGGCATGAACCTGCTGAACACATTTCTGCCTCAAGACCTTTGCACTTGCTGTGCCCTCTGCCCGAATTGTTCTCTCCCTCAAGTAGTCACTGTTGGCTCTTCACCTGATGGGAGAGGCCTTCTCTGACCACCCTATCTTACCTGTTTTATTTCTTCTCCCTGATGGCTCAGAAGGTAAAGAATCTGCCTGCAAGGCAGGAGACCCGTGTTCGATCCCTGGGTTGGGAAGATCCCCTGGAGAAAGGCATGGCTACCCACTCCAGTATTCTTGTCTGGAGATTTCCATAGACAGAGGAACCTGGGGGCGGGGGGCTACAGTCCATGGTTTCATAGTCAGGCACCACTGAGTGACTAACACTTTCACTTTTCATGCCACTCATTCCTTTCTCGCGTTATACTGTGTATTTTTCTGTTTGTTTCTTGCTTGTTGCATCCACTGGAATCACAGCTCCGTGAAGGCCATGACTTCTGTCTGTTTTATTCACCATTCTATCCTTCACATCTGTGGCCCATAGTAGGCCCCCAGTAAATTTTGGTTGGCTTAATATTGTTGGGTGAATGGCCATCGTGTGAGGGCCCCCATGTAGGCCTTGGAGGTCGATAAGTCAGAGACCTGAGTCTTCAGGTGCTGGGGAGAATAGTGACAGACAGAGTCATAGCTGGGGTGCGGAGGAGACACAGACCATCATGGGACAGCACGGATGCTCGCTCACCCTGCCTAGGACTTGACTGGGTCCCAGAGGATGTATACTGTGTCTGAAGACCACAGGCGATGGTTTAGGGGGTAGCCGGTTCCCCCAAGGCTGAGCTTTTGGCAGGGGTGCTGGGGGCAGTTCCAGGGCTGTCCATTGTAAGATGTGCGTGTACTTCTCTTCCAGGCCTTGGGATTTTTGCTATGGATCGTCTGCTGGGCAGACCTCTTCTACTCTTTCTGGGAAAGAAGTGTGGGCAAGCTCCTGGCCCCAGTGTTCCTGGTCAGCCCAACCCTCTTGGGCGTCACCATGGTAAGTAGAGGCTGCCATTTGGAAATGAGAAGATCATGCAGTAGAAATATGGCTGTCTTGGGTGAATTTGGTTTGGTCTTGTTGGGAGGAGGGACGAAAGGATGATGGAACTAAGGCCTAAAGAATGAGAGGGATGTTAAAGTTGAAGGGGCTGGGGACAGGGAGGATCCAGTGGACAGACCAGCACATGCAAATGTCCTGGGGTCAGAACGAGGGAGATTGAGAGTTGGCTTGTGTGGCTGGGGCAGAGGCAGTGAGGAGGGGCGCAGGGGAGCTGGAAGGACAGGGGGCTGTCTCTGAAGGACTTTGATCTTCAGGGTAAGTGGGTTTTGTCTTGTTTTTCAGTCCCAGAGTTGGGTTCCAAACCTTTTCTGCGCCACACACCCCTTTCTTCTTTGCCAGTCTGGTCTCAGAATAATGTTCTTAAAATCATAAAACACATAGGCTTGTGGAGGAAACCCGTCACACACACATATATATGTATAAAGATCTTAATGAGGTCTGTTTGTGTTTTTACTTGAGGTTTATTTTACGTAGGGTAAAATTCACTGTTTTTCCTTGAACAGTTGATGAGTTTTGATAAACCAGTACTGTCAGGTGAGCACCATGTCCACAATGAAGATACACAACAACACAATCCATAACCCCCCGAAAGTCCCCTCGTGCTGCCCCTGCCCTCCCCCCCCCCCCCCACCCCCCCCCCCCCCCCCACTGCTATGTCTTCTGCCCCTGTGATTTTGCCTTTTCCAGAAAATCATGTGAATGGAACCATGCAGGCTGGAGCAGTTGGAGTCTGACTTCTCAGCCCCTGCTGTTCCAAAGACCTTTATTTTTTTTTTCCCCACAATTGCTCAGTCTGTTTGATTGTATGGACTGTATGGATTCTTCAGTTGCAGGACATTTGGGCTGGGAAACCAGTTATTATTGTTTTTTTTTTCCTATTTATTTTTATTCATTGGAGGCTAGTTACTAGGCAACCAGTTATCTTTGATCACATTTTGCAAAAGAGTAAACAGGAAAAACATGTGCTTCTTTGTTAGCGCATCTCAAATCAGGGTCCACCAGCAGGTGTGATACCTCCTTAATACCCAAACAGCGATCCAGCGTACATGATAGTTGGAGGAGATGGCTTTCGCTTTTTGTTTTCGGGTGTGACTTCTAGTGGTGACAGAGTCCCGGGAGCTGCTGCCATTGTGCTCTGTTGCTTTCAGTTGTCATTGGTGGTGCTGATGAGGGAAAGCGAAGCCATGATTGTTTCCCATCTGAGTTCATGGACCCCCTGGGTTCTATCCAGAGCCTGTCCATGGACCCTGGGTTAAAACCCTTCACCTGAAAGGGAAAGGTGTGGCATGGCAGGCTGTGCTTCTTTAAGAGCTGAGCGTGGTGAGCATGGGCTGTGAGCAGGAGTGGAAGCTGGGAGGCCGGCAGGGGCCCAGGAGCACCTGGGTCAGGGGGCTGGAGGCTGAGACCAGGGTGAGCGGTGGGTGAACTGGGGGTGGTCTTGGTGGCAGATGGAGAGATGCAGGGAGGGAGGGAGGCGAGAGGACCAGGGAGGACAGATGACAGACAGCCAGGTTTCTGGCAGCTGGGGGCCGAGGGGCAGTGCCCTGGGTGCCCGTAGCTCCCTGGGAATCCGGTTTGTGACCGTGACCAGCATTGGGGTCTGCCTTCAGAGGGCTATCTGAGGAAGGGCGGGGGCATCTCCTTCTTTCAAGGAAAAGTGGTTTCATTGTTCTTTTTCCTCAATCACTAAGTCACATGTAAAACAGAAGCCATAGCTCAGGGTACCAGGAATGAATCCCCCCACCACCGTCATTCTAATCAAGTTCCCTGAAGACAACTATGTATCTGTCTGTAGCAGGTTAAGTAAGTTTCCTGATCTGCAAACTGGTGCTCAGAACAGGTTGTACTGAGTCAGTGCAGGTGAGTGCATCCTGGGAGGCGGAGGAAAGAGAGGCTCAGTAAAGGAGAGCAGTTACCACTGCTGCCCGAGCCAGACGAGCTCACTGCATCAGGGCTGAACTTCCTTCTCTAAATCAGCGGTTGGCCCGCAGCCTGTTTTTGTAAATAAAGTTTTACTGGCAGGCGACCATATCCACTCTTCCCTGTCTCATACGAGGCTGCTTTCATGCTACAGTGCAGATTGGAGTGGTTGTGAAAGAAACTCCATGGCCCACAGATCCTAAAATATTTACTCTCTGGTCCTTTAAGAAAAAGCGTGCCGATCTCTGTGCTAAACTGAGCTCCCCGTCCCCCGCCCCCTCCCCCCCCCAATTTTCCATCCCATCCTGGATCTTGTTAAATTCTCATGGCTTTCGAGATGAATACTGCTGTCACCTCCATTTTGCAGATGAGGCAGCGGGGGCTTAGAGAGTTCTGGTGACATGCCCAGGGTCACCAGCGAGGCGAGAGCAGAGCTGGGACTGGAGCCAGCTCCTGCCCAGGCCATTCTGCTACCCGCTGTCCTGGGGGCAGCCCTCCTCCGGGCCCCAGACTGGGCTGGCCGTGGGGACCCGACCTTCTCCTGACAACTCTTGTTGCATGCTTCTCTCTTCCAGCTGCTTGCTACCTTTTTAATTCAGATCGAGAGAAGGAGGGGAGTCCAGTCCTCAGGGATCATGCTGACTTTCTGGCTGATAGCCCTACTGTGTGCCCTTGTCATCCTGAGATCCAAAATCATGACTGCCTTAAAAGAGGTAAGTGACCTCGTTCCATGTCTTCCTTCAGCAGTGCCCGGGAGATGCCTGTTCCTTCTGACTCGTGTGGAAACCATGCATTTCCTTGGGAACCAGAGAAGGGCTCCTACGTGGGTCGGGCTTCTTCCCTGGGGATTTCCCCCCTCCATGCTACTTTGTTCTAGAAGCTTCTTTCCTCAAAGCCCCATTTGTCTGTGTCACTGTAGGGGCAGGAGCAGCAGGCAGATTCACACCACGCTTTGAGCCTCTGTCAGTGGTGACAGCCAAGCAGGTCGGCTCTCCGTGTGTTTCGCCGGGAATGCAGCCGCGTGGGGAGTGGTGTTTGCAGGGCGACTGTCCCCAGGGGCCCTGGGCTGGTTCCCACGTTGCGTTGGTGCCACTCTGGCTGGGAAGTGGCCCTTGTTGCTGCTCCTAGGAGTTGTGAAGAGCGGGTCCTCTCAGACTGTCCCACTGTTCCCTGCCACCTTCGGGCTAATCGGAAGCTGGCATCAGGCAAAGCAAGGAGGAGTGACCGAATGTTTATTGAGCGCCTGCAGTGTACATTTCAGGCGGTTTTTAGTAGTGATGGCCGCTGCCACTTGTTGAGTTCGTGTTTTCAGGGTGCTAGGCTGGGGACGGAGTCTTTTTCGTGAATCTTACTGCCGTCTCACAGTCACCCTGGCAGCGTGTCTCAGCCTCAGCAGGGATTGGCGTCTGGGGCCCGAGTCCTCCTTTTGTTTTGGGGGAGGGCTGTCCTGTGCTTTGCAGGATGTTTAGGGGCCGTGCCCATGGCCCTCCCACCCCTGAACAGAAATATCTCCAGAAACTGCCAGATGTTCACTGGGAGGCAGAGTCGCCCCTCCTGTTGAGAGGAGGAGGGGTCTGTTTGTAGGTGGGGAAACTGAGGCACAGAGGGGTTAAGTAAGCTGATCAAGCCCTACGGCCATGGCCAGTGTGAGCTGAGCCAGGCCTTGAAGGTAGGTCTGATCCACTCCGAAGCCTGGAGCTCCTCCCCAGGTCAGGTGCCCTGACCAGGCAGGGTGGACCACACCATGATGTAAACAGCTGTCTTCTGTTCTCTCGCAGGGGAGATGACCCAGGAGATAACCCAGCCCCTGCAGCTGCTTCCAGAAAGTGATCTTTTCTCCTTCTCCTCCTTCCCCTCCTGTGCAGGATGCCCAAGTTGATGTCTTTCGTGACGTCACCTTCTACATTTACTTTAGCCTCGTGCTGATCCAGCTCGTGTTGTCCTGCTTCTCGGACCGCTCGCCCCTGTTCTCCGAAACCGTCAACGACCCCGTAAGTGTGATCACAGATGAGCGCAGAGACACGTGTGTGTGCATGTGGGTGTGTGCAGAAGACACAGTATAGCTCACATTGATATGAGCCGGTATCGTCCATCTGGGAACTCATTCTGTCTTCCCCAAACACTCAGCCATAGGTAACATCTTCCTCCCCGCTTTACCGATGGAAAAACCAAGCCACAGACGTGGCTGGAGGGTACTTAAGGAGGGTGTCCCATTCATAGTCGTAAACAGCTGTGTCTTCCAGCCCGTTTGGTGGGCAGAGTGGTTTTAGACAGTACGAATGAACATTTAAATATCGGGAAATTCCACAGGTGTTCTTAACTGTCCGGGTTTTCTAGAAAAGGGTTCTGGCAGCATCAGTGCAAGCGGTCGGCCAGCCCTGAGGCACGTGGCCCTGGTTTCCTGCCGCAGTCCTCACTGTTCCCTGGTGTGTTAGACAGTCTTGCTCCTCTCACCTAGCCCCTGGAGGATTTGAGTTTGAGACCCTTGGTCTCCTCCATCAGTTTGAGGAAAATCCTGCTCGTGCAGAAGGGTATCAGTGGGCAGGGTGGGGGTGGCCGCTCTTCCGCTGGTAGGAGGAAAGGGAACATGGCTGTTTATCACCCTGATCCTTCTCCTTTCTTCCTCCCCGCTTCCCTCCATCCTGTTTTCCTTCCTTCTCCCCCGTACTCCCTTCTTCCATCCAGGCCGAGTGCCAGGCTCTGATGGGGCACAGGGCTATAGCCGTGAATAAAGCAGAATTCTTGCCACTCGGAGCTCACGTTTTCATGTGCAGAGACACAAACAGTAACCCAGGACCCAAGTATATATTCTACCAGTCAAGTGGTGGTTAAAGCTCTAAAGAAAAACTCAAAGAAAGGGGGAGATGATGGTTGGGGGGTGTGTGTGGTTTTGATAAAAGCAATCAGGAAAGCCCACCTCACCCCATCCCCCCAGGAAACCTCACTGGAGCAAAGACCTGAAGGAGCGAGGGAGGCAGGCAGGTACCCAGAGGGAGAGGTTTCAGGCAGAAGGGTCGGGAGTGCAAAGGCCCTGGGGCAGGGCTGCCATGAATGTGTGTGTATAAAATTCACAAGATGTGTGTGTTCCCTGGCACAGAGGAGGGGCTCAGATATCTCCGGCTTTCATGCCTGCTGATGATCAGCGTTGGTATGCACGGGTGTGGGCCGGGCAGACTGTTTGGATTTTGTTCCAAGAGGGATGGGGAGCCTTTGGAGCAATCATCCCATGCTTTGTTCACGGTTAGTCAGCTGCTAATGGGTGAAATTGCAGTAGGAGCAGTTTTCGGCTGTGGTTCTGTGAGGTTTGTCCTGGACCTCAGCAAAAGGCTGTGGCTGCTTTTGTGGGTGATGAAAGGATGTGGGGGGGCGTCAATCAGAGGAGGCGGTGATGCTCCAACATGAGATTTAGAAACCGGGGAGCATGTCCCATCCTAGAAGAGGCCCCGTTCTGCCATCTCCTTGCTCTAGGAGGAGCTGGGTTGGTGAAATTAGCAAAGTGTGTGTGTGTGTGTGTGTGTGTGTGTGTGTGTTCATGCACATAGGTGTGTATGCGTGAGGTGGGTACATGAACATGTATTTGTATGCATGTGGATGTGTGTGAATGTGTGCATTTGTGTGTTTTTGTGGGCTCGTGTGTGTGTTGTGTGTGTATAAAATTCACAAGGTGTGTGTGTTCCCTGGCACAGAGGAGGGGCTCAGATGTCTCTGGCTCTCATGCCTGCTGATGGTCGGCTTTGGTGTGCACGGGTGTGGGTAGATATCAGGCTCTTTTGTGGAGCTGCGGATCACAACGAACAAATCACAGCCACCTGAGAGGCTGCAGACCCTGGGGTGCTCGGGGGGTAAACCAAGCCCGTGGGAGGCAGACAGGCCCACGTAGGGATCTTCCAGTTCTTCAGGCTCACTGGACTCTTGCTGATGCTTTACAGGGAATTAGTGATTTCTGGTCCCCTCTGGGGTCTGGATGAAATTCCTTTCCCTTCTGTCCTGGGTGTGTGCACCCTGGGCTGACTCACAGAGCTGACTTCCTCCTCCCATTGTACTTCCTGCAGTTCCGGGGCGTGGGGCCTGCCCCGCCACCCCGGGGACCGAGAGCCTCAGTCTGATTGTGGCGGCAGCGTGGTGACAGGAGGAGAGGCTCGTTGTGGAGGCAGGCAGACCCTGGGCTTTAATTTCACCTGGCTCCTTTATCTCTTCAGTGGATATTTCTTAGGCACCGGTTGTATACGGTGCTTGGTTCTGGAGACACAGCGGTGTGTGAAAAGATGTGGTCAGTGCCCTGAGGGGCTTGCTTGTTACTGCCCAATACACCCACCCTGAATTTAGCAGCGTAGGACGGCAACAGTCCTTCATTAGGATGTTTCACAGGCGTGGGCGTTGACTGGGCTCTGCCGTGTGGTTCTCACTCAGGATCTCTCCTGCAGTCGCAGTCAGATAGTGGCGGGAAGGCTTCCAAGCTCACAGGTCCTGTGGTTAGCGCTGGCCCCTGGCTGAAGGCCCCACGTGGTCTCTCCCAGCCACCTGGGCTTCCTTGCAGCCTGGCAGCTGGTCTGTAAGAGTGAGTATTCCGAGAGAGAGTGAGCTCTAGACCTGGGAGTGGCCAGGTCTCACTGTAGGACCAGCACGTGAAATGGCAGGTGATGCCTGGCTGTCTTTGAAAAATAACTGTCTTCCTCACGCCCCCAAGGAAGCTTACCATCCTGTTAGGCAGATCAGCCGACCACAGTTGAGATGAAGACCTGGGGGTCAAGTTATGTGACTTTTGGATTTGACTTCGAGCGAGTCACTCCTCTTTTCAGGACCTTTGTGTCCCATCCTTGAAAACGGGTTGAGGCTCAGTTTGATGCCAGCTGTCCCCCACCACCCCAGAGCTGAGGCTGGTTGTGACCTGGGAGGAGGGCATGTCAGGTGTCATCTCTGCTGTCCCCTTGTTGCTCTCCAGACTGGCATCACAGTGGAGCCGGGAGGACGAGGCCGGTCCAGCCCTGGTCCCTGTCCCGTCCTCCGAGCAGCCGTCACATGTCGCCCGTCCTCAGTGAGAGTGGTCAGCCAAGCCCCGGGTCAGGTGGGGCTGGCAGTGCCAGCCTGCTCCCCCTGCTGAGTCACCGAGCGCCATCCTTCCCCGTTGGCCCCATGCCTGATGCGTGACTCAGAGCTGTGTCCTGGCCCTGCTTCCCAGCGGGGCTGCTCCCCTCCACGTGCAGGCCCAGGGCCCAGACCTCGGGCGCTTTCTGGGGCTCCTGCCTGTCCCTGGCCTCGGATCCTTTAATCTTCTGACCCTGAGGCTACCGCTTAGGGCATGGGGTCAGGGTTGCCATTGGCAGTTTGGGGACACCAGGAGCAAATGTGGCAGGTAATGGACCCCCCCCAAAAAAAAAAACTTCTCACCGTGGGGGGTCCGCACCCCCCCCCCCCAGATGCACATTTGAAATGGAGAGTCTTAGGCCTGCCGAGCCCTGCTGAGTCAGGGTCTCGTTTTCACAAGATCCCTGGCTGGTTCATGGTGGAAAAGCACCAGGTTAGCACATTCTTAAAAATTACTCAGCTCATTTGGTGTAAGAGGTATTTTTAGTCCTGTTTCATAAATATTTTACAAGGAGCATTTCAAACCTGCAGAAAAGTTGAAAGACACAGTGAATAGTTGCCATTTACCTGCCAGCTAGACTGCCTACAAGTTAACATTTTGCTAACCTTGTTTTTACCACATATCTGTCTAGCCAGCCAGCCGGCTAAGATTTTTGGTATTGAAAACTGACCTTGAAATAACATCAGTATCCTTCATCCACACACTTAACCATGCGAATCATTAGCCAGAGCTCAATATCTCCTTATGGTTCTATTTTAGGGTGTTTTTTTTTTTCTTCCTTCAAGTAAATTTCCATAGTGACATTCCTGAATCTTAACTTACCCATTAGATGAGTTCTGACAAATGATAACTCAAATTCCTGTCGAGACAGAATATCCCTGGAACCCTAGGAAGTCCCCTCCTGTTCCTTCATGCCAGTCCTGCCCCTTGCAGCCCAGAGGCAACTGCTGGGCTTAGACTGTTAATGAGAGCATGGGAAACTCCATTTTTAATTCCTTTCTCTACCATTTGGTAATTCATTGTGCCAGGGGCTCAGCTGGGCTCTGAGTACCCAGAAATGAACAGACCTTGACCACCCCAAAGGAGAGACAGAGGAGGAGGCAGAGGGCCGATAAGCCAGCGCTGTGAGATGGACAGAGGGTTCCCAGGCAGGGATGTGCTAGGGGCTGTGGAGGAGCAAGGAGCCAGCGGTCCTGAAGTCAGCCCGGGGCCCCAGAGCTAGCATCCAGAGGAGGGGATGCCTCGGGCCAATAAGGTTGAAGGCTGGAGGATGGATGGGAAGGTTCTCCTGCTGGTGGAAGCAGCATGTCCACAGGCCCAGCAGTGTGATGGAATCTGTGGGTGTTTGGGAACTGCATGACTTTCTGCTTGGCTAAGTCGGGGGGCCAGGGAGCTGAGCATGAAAGATCAAGGGTAGAATTGAGTGTCACCTTGTGGACTTGGAATTATAATCTGAGGGAAAGTTTCTCAGCAGGAAGGGGTTGACACACTCAGGTTGGAAGTGTTTTAGATGTTCCCTCTGGCTGAAAAGAGGGTGCAGGAGGCTGGTGGCACCTAGGAAACCATTACTGGAGCCTAGGCAGGTTGAGAGGAACGCTGGCCCGAAGAGTGACCCTGTTCAAAAGCCATGGAAAGAAAACGGACAAGCTCATGGGCAAACACACATGGTGCGTGTGTGCTACAGTAGAAGAAATTGTGGTCCTGAGCCTGGAGGAGATCTGCATAGCTGAGAAGCAGCAGAACGAACAAAGAACACCAGTGTTACACACTCTATCACCGGATTTCTTAGTGTCAGGCATTTGGGTGGTTCTAATCAATAATAATAATAGCAGCCTTGTGTTCATAAAATTAACTTATTTAATCCTCACAACAACCCAGCATTGAGGTGGAACTGTGAGCCTCCCC